CAGCAAAATAATTGTAGATCCTATTTCACTGGAAACACTGTTCTAAAGGATGAAAGGGAATTTCCATACATATTTAAGACGCACTGTGTCTAAAAACACTATATTATTATGAGCATGTATTCTACTTTCTTCTACACTTAAATAACTATTTTTATATTCATCATTCATATATTAGCTGTATATTATTAATTCATTTTATAAGCTTTTAGTCTGCTTCTTAACCCTAGAGCGGGTCAGGAAAAAAACAGGTTGCTTAGTGTCACATTTACAGATTGATTATAAGAAAATATGAAGTTTTATATGATAAATTATGGGTGACACGGTGGCGGGTGGGTGGCGTCGTCGCATCACAGCAAGAAGGTCGCTGGTTCGAGTTCTGGCTGGGCCAGTTATTGTTTCTGTGTGGAGTTTGCATGTTGGCGTGGGTTTCCTCCGGGTTCTCTGGTTTCCCCCACAGTCCAAACACACGCGCTATAGGTGAAATGGGTAGGCTAAATTGGCCGTACTGTGTGTGTGTGTGTGAATGAGTGTGTATGGGTATTGTGGCTGGAAGGGGATCGGCAGTGTAAAACATATAAAGGATAAGTTGGTGCTTTAAATATTAATTTTTACAGTCACTTCTCAACTTTGCATTTGGATAATTTGTGCTGTTTTATACATTTACTATAAACTGACACACAACTACGCCACAATTTGGTTTGTAAAATGTAATGTTTATTAAAAAATCACTTAAATTCTCTGGAAATTGGTTTATATTTTAGGAATAAAATACTGTTGTTTATCCTATCACACTATTCGTGTACTAAGTGGAGGCATAAAAAAGAATCACAACAACTGAAATCCAAGCAAAATGTTTACTTAATAAACAGCAAAGGGGAAATGCTCTCACTCAGTACAGATGGGGTTTTTCTTAACCCTTTGATGCACAAGCTATAAAATAGTTTAGACCAGGCGTGACCAACCCTGTTTCTGGAGAGCCACCTTCCTGCGAATTTCAGTCACAACCCATATCAAACACACCTGCCTGTAATTATCAAGTGCTGTTCAGGTCCTAATTAATTAGTTCAGCTGTGTTTGATCAGGGTTGGAGCTGAACTTTGCATGAAGGTCGATCTCCAGGAACAGGGTTGAGCACCCCTGCTTTAGACCCATGTAGTACATCAAAGGGTTAATCATCCACACTGTAACCTGTGAGCATTCAGCTGAACTAACTTTTAAATACAAAAAAAAATAATAAAAAATAAATTTTTAAACACAGACTTTTAAATGTTTCCAGCCTGACCAGCTAAGACCAGGCTGGAAATAGCTGGAAACCAGCCTGAAAATGGCCAAAACCCCTCTAAAACCAGCCTGGTTGACCAGCTAAAACCAGCCAACCAGCCTAGGCTGGTTTAAGCTGGATTTTTCAGCAGGGGAATAATTGGAAATCCTACAACCGCAAAAATCAATCCCTTGGGAACAACTGTGGAGGCAACCAAAGTTTAAAGTGTTCTCTGAACTCCTCTCAACCTGTGGACTTCTACATACTGATTGTTTGCCGCCGAACCCCATCTTAGCTCATTAACATGAAGTTGACTCGAATTCAACTATCCCCAACGCCCACACTGGCGAAGAGGTGTCACGCTGCTCCTCGCCGCCGGCTCCCATTGAAAATGAATTACTTCCAGCTACTTTGATGCTCTCGCCGTGTGAACGTACAGTCAGACCTCTTTCTTGACTTCACACAAAAACAGCAACGCGTGCGGCATGACATCACTTTGTTGCAGAGATGCTATTGGTTAAATGCCAGCAAAGTAGAACACGGAAGCAGCTGGAAGCGAAAAGCGCGAGTATGTCTGCAGTCTGGAAGTATTATAAAGTTGATGACGACAGCATTGCCATAGCAAACTGTGAGATCTGTAAATTTGGGATTGCAAGAGGTGGAAAGGAAAAGGCTACATTTAAAACAACAAACCTGATAAGGCACCTCAAAAACAAACACCCGACACAATACCGCGAGTTTACCCTGGCAACCCAACAAAAGACAAGTCAGCTCATGCTGAAGAAGAGTTTGAAGAGGGGAGTAAAAATGCCCCATGACAACACGAAGGCACAGGACATCACAGCCAAGATGATCACAATGAGTGACCTGCCATTCGCCTTTGTGGAAAATCCTGGATTTCTTATGGTAATGGGGCACGTATAACCTTGTTTTGATTTTTTTTTTAATGTATTATAGAAGTATCTGATCAGGTTTTGGTATCGGTAGATGCTCAAAATCAGATGACTCAGGCACGAGGGCAAAAAACCTGATCGGGACATCCTTACTAATAACTAATACACCGGCTGTACAAGGTGGGCCATTTATATAGATACACCCTAATAAAATGGGAATGGTTGGTGATATTAATGTCCTGTTTGTGGCACATTAGTATATGTGAGGGGCAAGCTTTTCAATATGGGTGGTGACCATGGTGGCCATTATGAAGTCGGCCATCTTGAATCTAACTTTTGTTTTTTTCAATAGGAAGAGGGTCATGTGACACGTCAAACTTATTGGGAATTTCTCAAGAAAAACAATGGTGTGCTTGGTTTTAAAGGGCACATAGTTTACCCCTTTTTAAAAATGTAATATTAATATTATGGTTGTTCTGAGTGTGCCAGTTTAGGTTCAGTTTAACACACAGTTCAGTTGTTTTTATTATAATGTGTGTAACAGTGTCATGTTGTGGGCGTGTACACAGCTCGCTGTTTTAGGTGTGTGTTGCTTCACATGAAAATTAGTTTTGGCTTCCCGCCCAACGTAACAAGGGGGCGGAGCCAAGAGCTCCCACGCTCTGTGTTTACAACAGACAGGCAGACAGAGAGAAGCTAAGCTACATGACAGGATCAGAATTCAACTGTACATGTACGACTTGGATACAGACCAAGCAGAGACTACAAAATCATTTGTGTCTCTGTATAGTGTGTGCTAGTTTCAACTGTGTGCTAGTTTCAAGTGCCGAGCTTGTACACCGAGACTAATAACCACGCACACTGAATTAACTTTGACTGAGGCATCGGATGTGCAGCTCGAAGCCGCGACACAGCACACCAGACACTCTCTGTGGCACGGCAGAAACATGAAGGGTTGTGCCATGCATTCCAGAACTCCAAACACAGGCTTCCACCAGGGCAAACACAACGGCGCCCAGCCGCCGACCTGAAGTGCCGTCGCGTGCATCCGGACAGAAACCCACGGCCAAAACTCCAAAATGCACGGAAATACACATGCAAACCTACCTAAAGGTACAAACAATAATCCCGATTAGACCGATCATGTGGAGAATATTGATCTTATGTTGAGCCCAATGAGCCTTACATTGAAAAAATAGAGCAAGAGTGTTCCTTTAGTGACATCGCTTTGACTCACACGCTGAAAATTGCGGGTGTGAAACAAGAAACTCAGGATATGATCGTGACGCAAGGCTGTCAATCAATATCAATATGCGGTCGGTCTGAAAACTGCTTCAATTGGTCCACCGTTTTTATGTTGTTAAACTGAAAAAAAAAAAAAAAGCCTGTGTGTGTTTATATCACCCCAATGTGACGGTCTATACACTATAGAGATGCGCGGATGGCGGTTACAGCCGCGGAATCAGGGCGGATGACGTGACGAAAAATAATATTTTAGTTAAATTCGGGCGGGTGGTGGGCGGTTGTACTGTTTTGTACACATAGCTGGCGCACCAACGAAAAAGCCTAGGACTGACTTCACAGAATGAGAGAAGGAGTCGGATACACTAATTCTGGATGAAGTACAGAAGTCTTCCTCTACAAAATTAAGAATAGACGGATCAGCAGAGGAAAATCTACTTTCCTTTTGGGAGAAACAAGGCCAGTCATTCCCACGTCTACAGCACCTTGCCAAGAGAATTCTATGCATTCGAGCAACAAGTGCTGCGAGCGAGCGCTCCTTCAGTGCAGCAGGGCGCATTAGAGGCCAGGCGCTCTCGTCTGAATGTTGAAATGATGTGTCAATGCATTTTCTATTAGGCTACTATAATAAAAAAAATTGTACAGTACAGTGCGTTTCATTTAAGCTATTTATTTATTTATTTTTGTCCCTGTGCACCGATTGAAGACGGAGTTCACTGCTGATATTCTGAGAGCTTTATAGGGTGCTTCTCATTTCTTATTTGTGTATCCTCGTTTCCTTCCCTTGCTTTCTTTCCTCGTCTTTCCACCCCTACAGGATGCGAGGGAAGGACGCAAAAAAAAAAAACACTCAAGGACCGAGGAATCGAATCAAGTGAAAAGACACGTCCTCGTATTGTTTAGCGTCACTTCAAAGCGTCAGTTAATGCTGGATTTGACTTGCACGTTTGGATTAACTGCATGTCATTAAAGTCATTTTCTAATAATCAATAAAGAAACATTCATTTAATAATAAAAAGGAATAAGCCATTCAAATAAAGAGCTCAGTCAGCAGATGGCGGGCGGGTGCGGTTTTAAAAATTGGTCAAAAATGTTAGTGCGGCTGGATGGCGGACGGATGATGAGTTTTGTGATGCGGTTGCGGATGAAATAATAGCCCATCCACGCATCTCTAATACACTATACTTACACACATGTCAGTCCAAACAGCTTGAAAAGTAGATTTTTCACCATAGGTGCCCTTTAATGCAACTTTATTCTTTCATGAGTTATTAACAAGTTTCTAACCACTTTTAAAACGTGAAACCAGTGGATATTTCAAAATATAATAGGCACATTTTGAGAAGGAAAATAACTTGCAATTTATTACAAACCTTTGTTTGTTTAATAATCAACAAAATATTGACTGTCATTGTACCTGTCTTTAATAAAATGTACTTGCAACAAAAAAATATTTATAGCAATAAATTTCAATTTGAATCACTTCTCTTCTTTTTTCTAAGTAAGAGAATCCCTAGAATCTTCCCACCCAGGATCCACTATAGTTACATCAGTTCCTCACAAGGATGTGGAAGTGAATTCATATAAAGGAACATGATTTTAGAAGTTATATGAGAAGGGGGTGGTCTTTATTTTTTAATTTTAAGAATCAACCTCTGATTTTGGTCCCGCTTTTTTTGCTATCTCAGAACATGGAAATGCATAGCTCAGAAGAATACATGAAAATGGAGGTGGAGTGTGAAACAAAGCAATCTTTGTGCAAAGGTTTGGAAAATTCACATCGCATACATATTTTATACAAAACGAAAGTGATAAAAAGATGGAGAGACTAACCAACTGTTTAAACAGTAGATAAAGTAATACAGTTTTAAATCGTATGTAAATTCGAGAACATTTTGATAGGTCTTGCAATTACATTATTTTAATGTCTTGACAAACACTATTTTTTTACTAATAATTATGAATAAAATTATGAATGGATTATGTGTAAAAGTGCTAATGATGGTTTTAAATGTTTTGTTCTGTTTGTACTTTTCAATTCAATTCAATTCAGCTTTATTTGTATAGCGCTTTTACAATGTAGATTGTGTCAAAGCAGCTTCACATAACTGGTCATAGTAACTGGAACAGTGTGGTGCTGACTTGAACAAACAATATTAAACACCTGTGATACAAATATTTCTAAATGTTTGGACAAATGTGACTCTACAAAATGACATTTCAACATTGTTTCATGGCATCAAAAATATTAATTATGGCTGTTTTTGTTTTCTGCAGGTCGTCCGTGTAGCAAACAAACTGGAATCTTAGTGCTTCTAGGAACTGTGGGCATGATTATTTTCTTGGTGTTGATTTCTATCATCGGTAAGTCGATTAACTTTCCGTATTTTGTGATTTCCAACTTTTTCAGATATGAATTGTGTTATGGAATCTTGATTTCTGTTCTGTCAACTTTTTGTCATTGAAAATTCAACTTAGCAGTTTAACAAAGTGACTTCTATTTACATTTTATAACTTGAAACAATATATTATTTATAAATAAATGAAGTCCATAAAAATCACTTCAAACTAGGGCTGCACAATTAATCGAAAAACGATCGCAATCTCGATTCGACCCTACACACAATTAATTCAGCTTTTCTGTGATTCAGCCTATTATATTTTCAAGGTCAGGAGAGGCGGTCAACATGGACACCTCCAAATGGTGTTAAAAGTGTCACATACTGTATTTATAAGTTATAATTCTCCCAAAAATGCCATTTCTTTCGCGCCCGCAAAATCACATGTGAGCTGACCGCCAGCTGTTTGTTTACAACAAAGAGGACGCGCGTGGCCGCCAATGATGCCTACTTTAGTGAACAGAACCTGCATATGCTGTGAATAACAGGTGATAAAGTAGTAAATAACGTTTAGTTTGTTGCACAGAGCGATCGATTGGAAGCCGCGCAGGAAGTATGATTTGCATGTGTGTGTTTTCCCATAAGCCGCACTTGAAAGTAAAACCTGTGCGCACGTCATTTAAATGATCATATCGCATTTTACAGTTATGATTAAAACAAGCATTTGATATGTTTTTTTTTCTTTTATAATGTACAAAGTGCATGAGAATAAATGTTTAACAGTGTCAGTATAACTACTCTAGCCTGTATAATGTTGAATATAATGCAAGAAGGAATCTGATAATGACTAATGTCTGATTTTACCAGTGAATGAATGGTCTAATAATGTTGTCAGATTGCAAGCACACGTCTCAATCATAATAATTCAACTTTATAGTTATTAATAGTTGTATTCTGATGTCATTACTTTACTGTGAGTTCACAAACAGGACATATTTAAAGTCTGTTCAAGTCCACCATTCCAGGGTCCTCATGTATCAACGCTGCGTACGCACAAAAACTTTGCGTATGCCAGATTTCACGCTCACGTTTGGATTTACAAACGATGAAGTGAACGTGAGAATGTGCGTTGGTCAACGCCAACTTCAGGCCTGGCGTACGTGCATTGCTTGTGTGTGTTTGTTTTATTTCCATTGGCAACTCCTAGAGGAAATTGTGTTAAATTGCACACTACAATGGGACGGGATCATTAGCATGTCTAGCAGGTATATAAGGTTTCTGTACCATGCAGTTGACCAGCCAAACATTAAAGCTCAATTTGCATGGATCGCCGGTTTTCCCAATGTAATCGGAGCGATCTACTGCACGCACATTGCTATAAAGACACTATCTGAAGATGAATTTGCATACGTGAATTAGAAACATTTCCGTTCAATAAATGTGCAAATAAAATGTGATGCTCAAAAGCGCTTAACATAATACACACACTTATGAATGATTCCTACTTGTGATGAAGAGTAGGCAAAATCTGAAATGTAATGGGGAAAAAAAAAGTTCATCAGACGCTGGATTCGAACCGAGTTCATGATCTGATGATCGCGTCAAAACATGTTGCCATGCGCTTTACAAGCTAGGCCACTCACGCTGCTGATTGCTGCTCTCTTTACTTATGCCATCTCTGTCAATCAAAAAGGTGTTGGGCGTGAATCATTCAAATAGCTTTTTCCAACGAGGTGTGCTATTTGAACTTAGCCTAAATAGACGCTACAAAACCTTACACCTTTACATCGGACAATTTCTTTTTTATTTCGCTCACAGTGCGATGTTCAGACCCAACTGCGTTACAGGGGAGGAGGCAGGGAGGGGTTTTGCGCTCGTGCACTCAGTTTCATGCTAATTCGGATGTACAAAGTGAATATATGTGGGATTCTGCGTACGCAGTGTTTCATACATCTGAATTTTTTTATGCGTATGCAAATTTACAGCTATGGTTTAGTATCAATTTAACGCAAGTCTTCGTACATGAGGCCCCTGATCTGTACAAAATTTAGTTTTTTTAACCAACAGTAGACCTACACACAGGCCATATATTTTATTTTTGTTGTTTTACCAAATGTTTGAGAATTAACAATAGTTATAGCCTACTTATATTAACCTTTATTTTACATCTACAGAATTGTAAGAAAATCATGATTTGATTTTAAGTAAAAAAAATGATGATTCTCATTTTAGACAGAATCGTGCAGCCCTACTTAAAACTATTAAAATGCTAATAAAGTCACTTTTTCCAAACTTTTAAACATTAAATTGATGAATTGTAACAATTGTAAATTGTAAGTTGTTGAAAGAGAGATCAGGATCCCATAATGCAATTCAAAAGCCTAAATGAATGAAAACAATTTATCATAATCACAAAACATGGAAAACTTAATTAACAGATATATTTTACAGTGCAAAAGTCTTTAATAATGCTTTGAGTGCCCAGAAAGGTCTATTTAAATGTAATGAATTATAATTATTATTTTCAATGTCAAATTTAGGTACAATTTACAGAATGTATTAAGGAAACCTATATATTAACTGCTTCAGAATTTAGTTCACCTAAGACTAAATAGTCCTGTGGTGTGACAAATTAATTTGTAAACTATAAAAAAAAAAACACAATATTTAATAAAATGTATTTATAGTATAGTTTATGATTTTTAGAAAATGTAAGATTTTTTTATGTTTTTGAAAGTCTCCTCTGCTCATTAAGTTTAAATTCAGTGGAAATTACAGTAAAAACAGTAATACTGTGAAATACTTTTACAATTTGAAGCAACTGTTTAAAAAATTATTTGGCTATTTAAATATATTTTAAAAAATGTATGTATTCCGGTTGAAAATTGAATGTTCAGCATCAATTTTCTAGTCTTCAGTGTCACAGATTTTTTTTAAATCATGCTAACATGACGATTTGATGTGAAAGATATATCTGATTATTAGCTGTGTCAAAAAAACAATCTGTTTCGTTACATAACATATTGTTAAAATAATATTTAAAAATTTAATTTGGACTTCATTTCAGCTTGTGAAAGGTACAGTTTTTCTAATGTTGTTATTGTTATACAGCAATATCTGTATTTTTGGTCTCACAATCAGAACAGGACTAAAACATTTACATTTTTATTTTGCATATTGTAAATTTACAAACACCTATGGACTTTGCACATCTGCGCATTCATGTCCTTTGCACACTCCTTGGACACTTGTGGACATTTATGCACAATTGTACACACTCTGGTCATACATTGTGTAGTTCTGGGTGAGATTTTAAAATACACTCACTTTGAAAACAGTTATATAATATTTCACAGTATTGCAGTTTTTTTTTTTTTTTGTACTTTGGTTCAAATAAATGCAGCACTGGTGATTGAAAGACAATTTGAATATGGTTTTGTTTCACAAAATAGTATTGTATTATACTATTGTATGTGACTTGAAGGCGCAGTAGGTAGTGTTGTCGCCTCACAGCAAGACGGTCAATGGTTCGAGCCCAGGCTGGGTAAGTTGGCGTTTTAGTGTGGAGATTGCATGTTCTCCCTGAGTTTGCATGGGTTTCCTCCGGGTGCTCGGTTTCCACCATAGTCCAAACACATATGGTAGGTGAATTGGGTAAGATAAAACTGTCCATAGTGTAAGTGTATAGATGTTTCCCAGGGATGGGTTGCAGCTGGAAGGGCATCCGCTGCGTGAAACAGATGCAGGATAAGTTGGTGGTTCATTCCGCTGTGGGGACCCCAGATTAATAAAGGGACTAAGTCGAAAAGAAAATGAATGAATGGATACTATTTAGTCGATGCTACATACTGCACCTTTCAAGTTATTATTTAGATTCTTAGTGTACTACTAGAATGACTAGAACAAGTTTTCAATATATCATTGTGGTTAACTATGATTTCTCATCCTTCAAAAAGTCCAAGCAAAGAAACTGTCTGACATTGAGACCCTGATGACCGATCTTAGTTCATCGCTAGATTCACTCACATCCAAACATGAGGAAAACCAACAAAAGCTGGGTGAGCGCAAAACTGAAAATCCCATTTTCATTTACTCACGCTTCACTCAACGCAAACCTGTTAGAATTTCTTTCTTCTGTTGAAAAAAATGATTGATGGAAACGCCAAGATGCGCATCAATTATGAAAATGCGCATAAAAAACGTATGCGCATAACTGAGTAGGATAAACTTTTTATTCAATAAGAAATTATTTGTATGAACTACGATGGAAACACTTTTACCGGACAAATTTCAGTATGCGCATTAAAAAAAGATCATGCGATTTACTTATTTGAGATCATGTGGTGATAAAAATGTGTGTGAATGGAAAAACCAGCAGCCTGAGCACATTGTTAAACGAATTGTTGTTTTGGTCATTCTAAAACACAGTTTAATCATTTCAGTATTAGTGTTAATATATTATCAACTACCTCCAGAATCAAGATCGTCTGACGCCTTCAAACACCACCGTTCATTGTGTGTCTGCATTGTCCTCCGAGGTAAAAGTAATTTATTAAATGAAGAAAAGATTCACGCAGCTCCTTATATTGCAATAAATTCCGTTTTTACTTTTGATATTTGGCGCCAGTTAATCAGGAAGTGACCATTTTGTTCGCTTTGACTCGTTGGATGGAAACGCTGCTTTATTTGCATATCTTTTAGGAGATATTCCAGTTTTGCGTATGAAGTTAATTCGCATTTTTAGACGGAAACATCGCTATTTGTAACAGTCTTTCAGCTTTTTTTCAAAATATCATCCTTTGTGTTCAACAGTAGAAAGAAATCCATAAAGGTTTGGAATCATTGAGGAAGACTAAGTAGTGAGTAAATTTTCATTTTTGGGTGAACTATTTGGTTTTGAATCTGTATTTTTTCCAACAGAGCGTCAACAGAATGTGTCGTACATTCAAGTGAAGAAACAGATGGACACTGTAAGAGCTTCAGTATCATCAATTATGTCTAAACTGAAAGCAGATAGTGTGAGGACATCTTTTATGTTTCGACACCCTTTGGAACGATTTTTGATTGAACATAGCTCGGGTAAGACAGCAAACAAAAATTATAGTAATTAAACTACAATAATGATTTTGTTAAATGTTAAGGATTATTTATTGAATAATTATTTAAGAATGTGCTTTTGTAGTAAAGGTAGTGATGCTGATATATTGTTTTTTAACCTTTTTGGATTTCGAAATGTAGACCTCACTGGAGGATCTAAAGAATTTAATGTTGGAAATGCGATCAATGTTTTTATTGTTTTGGTTATGTTGGTGGCTGTTTTTGCCCCATTGACTTCCATTATAATCACATTTCTTAATTGCAAGGCCATGACAGCATATAAACAATGTTCTGTGTTGGAAACAGGTACAATTTGACATTTTTGACAAGTTTGCAGGAGTAATCCTTTAGATAGGCCTGTGCAAAAACATTTCTGTCATTTATATGAAGTTCAGTGGAGTAAAACGGCAGATTATAGTGTGTGTGGAGAAATAAACTTACTGTGTTTACTTGGTTCTGAGAGCTGTTACGTCCCGACCAGTCTAAGGTTAATGGGAAGAATAACAAAAGTATAAATAAATAAATGAATAAATTAAACTTAAATACTCAATTTAGGGTTTTCCCCTTCTCCTGTTCCAACTCACAATGATCACAACAAGTTTATCAAGAAATAACAAGGTTTATTTTTTTCTTAAACAACAAAAGATATTAGAAGCATCTCTTTGGAAGGGAATCCAGGCCAAAATGACAAACAAAAAGACCGCTAACTTGCGGGGAAATAATTCTAACTTACCTGCTCAAATAAAAAGTATCCCAAATAAAATTACGACAAACTTCCCTTTCTCCCTCGCTGCCACAAACCAGGAGAAAACGTTTTTAAATTAAATGGCGATTCTCAACCCACAGCTTCTTTTAAAAAGCAAAATAATATAGTTTTCATAAGTGAAAAGCACACAGGCTCAGAACTAACGGCGAGCAGTTTAGAAAAGTAATAAATTGTCAGCTAACGAAGCCAGTCTATCACACCACTGATTCAACAAACAATCTGGGGCAGGAGATAGGAGACGCTCGGAACAACAGCGGCGGCAACAACGACGGAGATTTGCGACCTGCACCGAGCAGAAAGATCCGTCCTTTGTTCCTGTCCTCCAGCTAATATACGCTCCCACTCGCAACATAGCTGGACCGCAATCAAGCGCAGCTCTAGAGGGAGAGAGCGAGAGAGACCTGTGCATACTCCACAGTGCGCAACACAACATCAGCTCCAGATGCTTAAACAAAACAAAAATCTGTATATATTTAATTATATATATATATACATATATATATATATATATATATATATATATATATATATATATATATATATATATATATATATATATATATATTAGCGCTGTCAAAATTAAAGCGTTAACGCATGCGATTAATTTTAAATAAATAACGCGTTAAAAAAAATTAATTAAAAATTTTTTTTTTACTTCCGGTTGTGGTGGACGTGTGTTTAACATGCAATAAATGTGGATAAGACCAAGGAAGCACTTTTTAAAGGCAAGTTTCAGTATAAAACAATTAGTCGCATCACCAGGCTCTCCAGAGTTTCATGCAATTTCGGGTGTTTAATTTTTAACTTTCGACTTCTGTTGTAATTATATATATATATATATATATATATATAAAATATATGAACAAAGAATTATTCTGTTTTGTAACATAACAGCGCTGAGATGATTAATTATTAATTTCTCAAACATATCAAGGTAAATGTGCAATGGTCTCTCTTACACTCTCTCTCTCTCTCTCTCACACACACACACACACACACTATACTTTATATAAAAGTATAAGAATGTATATATTTTTGCACTGAATCTCTTATCACCAGGTAAAACAAGCAACAATCAAGAACGCATGATTATATGCTCTTATGGCTTTGCAATCAATAAATGTGATTATAAATGGAAGTCAGTGGGGCAAAAACAGCCACCAACATAACCAAAGGGTAGTACTCAGTGTATTGTTGACTTTTTAAAAAAAATTCCAAAGCATTTTCCCAAATTATGTGTCAAAACAAGATTTGTCAGCAAAGATCATCCCATTTGCTGAGACTCAAAATCACATCAGCTTGGATGAAAACATCCCCAACAGCACATGAGGGTTAATTCGATTTTTTTTCATCTGACATAAATGCATTGAACAAAAGCATAAAAACATTCTGCATTCTTTCTCTCCTATGCAGAAGAACTTGAATCAGGCTGCAGTGATTCTGCTTGGGTTCCTTTCGGCAACAGCTGTTACCTCTTCTCTCGTGATAAAATGAACTGGACAGAAGCAAAAGATTACTGCGAAGAGAAAGGCGCATGGCTCTTAAAAATTGAAGATGACTCTGAGGATGAGTGGGTGCGTAATGAATGTACATAGACACATGGTTTTCCTTATCACAGGGCTCTAGATTAGAACTGCCCAACATCCAGCAAGATAGATGTTTAAAAATGTTGAGATTATTGACATAAACACAAAAGATTATTGCCACTCACCCGTATAGAGGTGCTGACAAAAAAACACAATAGAAGTCAGACTGACAGCCAGTTCTGTACAACAGGCAATTGTGTTATATTCAAATTCATTCATATATGTTGCGTGTGTGTGTGTGTGTGTGTGTGTGTGTGTGTGTGTGTATACAGTTCTCATCATAATTGAGTACAGCCCATTTTGAAAATAAATATCTGTATCTATTTCTCAGTGAATATAGGTAATGCATTTTGGTGCATTTAAACATTCATTCATTCATTTTCTTTTCGGCTTAGTCCCCCATTATTAATTAGGGGTCGCCACAGCGGAATGAACCGTCAACTTATCCAGCATATGTTTTACGCAGCGGATGCCCTTCCAGCTGCAACCCATCTCTGGGAATCATCCATTCACACTCATACACTAAGTGAAGTTTCACAAACTAATTTCGAGGGGAGCACATGATATGATTGACGCAGCTGGTCTCTCATCTACATTCATTAGTTAGCCAATATGATTAATCCAAACTCACAATAAGTAGCCTAGCAAATATCACTTCCTGATCTTCGTTTTCCGAAGAAACCCCCCATCCACCCCTTCTCCCCCTTTCTTCCTTTACCACGGGGAGCTCCCATCTGATCTCGTACTCCCCTTACATGCTCAATTGACTAGGCGGGAGCCCGGGCTCAATTATTTCCGAACTCAGGGCTCTCTCCCGAGACAGCATGCCAACATGGCTAATAGCGTCATGCAATATCTAAGTGTAAACTCTTGAAGGACAATTTAGCCTACCCGATTACCTAACTAAAACTTTCAATTCTTTGTTTCTCTTGATTTTTCCTCTTTTTAAATTTTTTTATTTAATATTTTTCTATAACAAATCAATTTGGCTGTGCTAGTTTTTGAATCGTTATTGTGAGTTATTTTGTTAGACAAGCTCCATTTGGCTTTAGTACTGACTAATCTAATGTATATGTACAAATATACTATTGTACAGCTTCCTATTAAAAATATGAATTTAAAAGAGTTTCGTATGGGGTGTACTTATATGAGCACTGTATATACAGTATGTGCCCATTCTGTCTTTAAGTGAGCCTTTGGTCTCTTTTACTAGCAATTTGTAACTGATTTTGCCAATCCAACTCATTACTGGATCGGCTTAACGGATCAGAACACAGGCCAGTGGAGATGGGCAGATGGAACTAATTACACCATGAACAAAGAGTGAGATGAACACACAAATATACAGAACACTTTTTACTAAGTCTGATTTAAGAGAATTCACATTTATAACCAGACATATTTTATTGTTGCAGACACTGGGGACCTGGACAGCCGGATGAGTGGACTGAGCATAGCTTGGGAGAGGAAGGAGAGGACTGTGCGGAAATTACATATGAATCTCTGCTCAATGACCTGCACTGCTCCTCCAAAATAAAGTTCATTTGTGAAATGAAAACATAGGACTGAGAATGGAAACACTTGAGTGTGGTCAAAACTCTAAATATGGAATTTTAAATAAACAACTTTTGAGTATTGAGAATTTGTAAAAGGACATTTTGTTAAAATTGTTATATTGGTTTAAGCTTGTAAATTTAAATGAATCATTTATCATTTATTATAAATTTATTATTACATTAGCATCTAATAAAGAGCCCCTATTATGGGTTGAAAATGAGCTTCCATATAGTGTGTAACAGCTCTGAGTGAATGACAACATCCAGCGAAGGTTTAAATCTGAAAGTGCATCGTGTTTAAAAGTATTGATTCTTTAGTGAAGTAGTTGACTCATAGTCGGTTCAAATCTTTTGCTTGAACGCGCCGACGTCGATATGGTACATCACCAAATATGTAGTACTGGATCCAGTAAAATGTGAATGTGCATTTCCCTTCAGACACTAGCGGAGTGCAGGGCATCTGATCATAATGTGAAAATGACGATCACTGACAGATGAAAATTCGGCAGAGGGGAATAAAGAGTTAAAGTTCATTTTCACAACACCACAGTGTAGCCAACCCAAGGCTCAACAATAAGGACTGCCTGGTGGTCCAGGGCCAGCTTGAGAGACACTTGGGACAGTAGACCGGATCATTACTGGCCCGATTGGGACAGTTCTGCCTTGTCACTAACATTTAATTTGTCTGTGACTATTTGTCAATTGTGTGCATTTTAAGTTTGTGCTTTTAAGTTTTTAAACACTACCTTCTTTGTGATGTCGTAAACACCATATTGCTTTCCAGTTCCTCTTATTTGATTGACCATGATATTTTTTTCTGTAACCTGGTAAAAACCAGTACAGCGAAGATGCAGCAACATGGCGGCATCATCAAATTATAAGGCTAAAAGAAAATGTCTGTTTCTAACGTGTTGGAAGTAGACATTTACATGTGACTAACACGACAAAATAAAAATGAAGTGATGTTTTGCACAGTTTGCCGCTAGTTTGACAAGTCAGCCACCTTTTTTTTTAAACATTTTCTGTACTGCTCTTTTTGTTTGCATAACACTTTTATTTACAATTTATCTGTCTTGAAATTCTAGATTCACAGACTTTTTTTGACATTATTTAAAATGTGGCAAAAAAATAGCTATTAACTTCCCTTTTTTTGGCCCATAGAAAAAATCTATAGAGTTGAACCCTGCAACCTAGTGCTGTGTTTGTTCCTATAATTTTTCTGATGATTGATACAATAACCTACGCTGCAACGTGGGATTTGCCGTCTGTTTGCTATTAGAAGAAGGAACAGCAGAGATATTATGTATGGGACTTTGTCAGTAACTGTTTTAGTTCATATGGACCAGTTTCTTCTTCCTCCGGATCAGAACATGTAGGTGTCATTAAAATTATTGCCTGGTTCTGTGTAGTTTGCAAAATATGTATTTAATATCGTGTTGTAAGTTGTAATCACCCTGCGTGGCTTGTAATCACTTATCTATTACAGATCAGTGCTTGTACTGTATCTGTCTGGTTAAATCTTTATGGGCTTTATGGGACTGTTCACATATCCTGTTAAGACCACATTAAAAACTCGACGCACGCTTCTTCCTTTAGCGATTTAAGTGCGTTTCTCAAGTTTTAAGTTTTAAGTCAGTTTTCAAAATAGTTTTCATAAAATTCAAAACAATTTTCATAACTTTTGCCACTGTGTGGATTAATACTGAATGTGTGTCATTGTTATTACTTGGGGTTAGGGTTAAGAATAGAGTAATATGCTGGTGCTTAACTGCATTGCTTTAATGCATTCCTGCATTGGGCTCTCACATACTCTCTTGCTGCTACTTCATAGCTGTAACGAAGATGGCCTACCAGACACATCATTATTTTGCTTTTATTCAACAAATGCAACAACTTTGCCCAGGGAAGACTGGATGTCCAGTTGTAATCTGATTCCAAGGTATTTATGACCCAAAGGAATGTGCTACACAGCACTGAGAAGAGACCTTTCCAAGACGTATAAGCTTCTTGCTTAAGACTGATGTTTTAATGTGAACTTTATTCTCTCTTCATGTGTAATCATGTGTTTTGCAAAGTGTCCCTTACTCCTTATTAATATTATGGTTTTAATACTTCTGCATACAATGTTTAACTCTACTGAAGCTAAACAAGGTCATAAACTGTTCATGTTTGGAATTGTTTTAAAGCTAACTTGCTGTACTAATTGATCGCTGACATTTTATGTTAATACGAGTGCAACATATTAACATTTTAAGAGACTTGAACATTTCAGCCTCAGTTTGCATCAAATTTGCCTATGCAAATTTCTCTTTTTTGGACAAAGGGTCATAAACCATGATTCAGGGAGGTTAGTTTCTGATTGGTCAACTTTCCATGGTGGGTGGATATGAACCCTCCCTTTAAAGTTTGTGTTCAAAGCAACGCCCACATTCTTCTCTAAACTCTCTTCTCTTAAACCTCTTCAAATTCAACGACTTAAAAACGAGACCCAAGCAGAGAAACCTCTAAGAAAGCAGGCGGAGACCCAGACGGAAAGGGTTAATCGCACAGCTTGGACATTCACATCTCCGATACCTTCTTTACTTTATTTTCCATCGAGAGTCTAGTTAACTGGCACCTTTGCCGCTTCAACTTGAAACACCGACTCCACCCCACTTTAAACCTCGCGAGGACCAAGACCAACCAGCCAACCACGTGCTCAACCAATGGAGCTTCTTCACATCACACAGACAAACGCAAGTAGCCACTTTCTGCCTACATCTGAACTGGTGTGAACTAAATGCAACCCTAAAGAGACAATAGAAGGGTGAATTTGATTATGTTTGGTTTGCTTAGTTTGCTCTTACAAAATCTGAGGTTATCCCATCATTACATAGAACCTCTTACTTTACCTTCTTTACTCTTCTTCTTTACTCTTTGTGTTAGGTGTTAGTTTCTGTTAGATTAGTCAATAAAGTTGTATAAAGAAAAAAAGTTTTGTATAAAGAAAGGTGCCTGTGTATATTTATTGAATCTAATGTCTTAAAGTTCGATCTTGTTACCCTGCTCAAACTTAAATGGGTTTTTATTTTGATAGCATTAGCCATAATAAACTCGACGGTCCACCTGAACGATCGCTGGACGATTCGTTTGTTCGGATCTAAAGAGTCGATTTGTTTGAAGCCCCGTTCAAATGAATCTTCCTCCCGTTAAGCTAATCCGTTACCTATAATGATGCAGAAGATACGCGAGCACTGTAACCTAAATTATAAATCGCTAGATTATAATGATGAAAAATGCGTGGGAAGATTGACCTTGAGCTAATTTGTTACAGATTATTGGTGTAGATATACGTGTAGTTTTATCTAAATTATAATTTGTTACATAGCCGTGGTGGGCGTTTGACTCTGTCTCACGCTGAACGCAGTCGACCAATCACAACAGACAGGGTCATCGGTCCAATCAGCACAGATAAGCTTCATGCTAAGGAGGGGTTTGGGAACAAATTAATCGCTGAACTAATTATATTTGAGTCGCTGGGAAAATTAGGTAAAAATAAATGCAGATTATGACACACAATGAAAGTGTTTTCTGACATCGTATTCATATCAGCCTGTTGTTGGAGACCCCAAAAATAAAAATATGACCTTTTATAATGCAAAATAGGTGCTCTTTAATGTCAAATATTAACACTTTTCACTCTGTCGTAAACATTTAACAGTCAACAAAATACAAGAATTACACTGTTAAATAAATGAAACAGCATACTTGTCTACTTTATTATCTATATTTTATTCCATAATAGAAGCAATAAAGCATCTTTATTATAAAGGAAACTTTATAATAACTTGAACTTGCTGCTTTCAATTTTAGAGATAAATAATGCAAAAACGGCCTTTTAAAAACACATCCAGATTTCATGTAATTTCACCTTTTCAATTGACTGACCTTAACATCCGGCTTTACACATCCTATATCTTCATCAATGAAACAAGATTTGCAGTTATTCATTTGTTTTTTAATGTATGCATTTGGTAGATGATTTTTAATTAAAGAGATCAATGTATGCCTTCTCTGGGATTCAAACGCATATTCTTAGTGTTACTAATGCTTTGCCATATTAATGTTGTGATGTCAAAAATGTTAGCTGACATTTCAAGGTAGCTTTTCTGAATTTCATGATAGCCAATAGCAGCCAAAGTTAAAAACAGATCACAATGAGTTTGCAATTGTTAATTCATTCATTTATTAATTGTCTTTTTGGCATAGTCCTTTTGTTAATCTGGGGTCGCCACTGCAAAAATACATTTAAAATAAATCAATTAAACATATAAATCAATTTACATATTTGTACGAAGAAAAAGCTAAATCTTACTTAACTTTTTAAAAGGTCTAAATTCACCAAAGCATGCTGTTTTTCAGGAGACTAGATTTAAAATGCAAACTAATACAGCATCAATGCATACATTAAAACCACTTTTTAATTAAAGTACCTTTTGTCTCTAGCAGCCTAAAGTTGTCTAATAAAAACATTCTGATATGACAAGAACTGACAAATATAAAGTATTACTTGAGATTCCTATCAGATCTCTATTCACAAAACTATTAACCATGACTGTAAACAGCTGGATGTGTATTATCAATCAGTTTTAAAGTGTTCCATGTATTTTTAGCACATGACATAAAGAAGTGAGTGAAGTGTGAGTGACTGATGCGACTAAAAACGCTGTTCAACTTGGATTAATTTATAAATAGTGTGCATGGGCATTTGCCTCAACATCACACTGAAATCAAAAATGTTTCTTTCTGCACCTAAATATTTGTTTTGTATTGCTAAAAAAGTATTAATAATCTATAAAGTCAAATAAAGTATCAATAACTAAGCTAGACCTTTAACATTTGCAAAAGTTTGTCATTGTTATTAAGTAGAGATCATTTAGCATGAATAAATTAAAACTAGTGGTCAAGCCACAATAAAGGAAGAAATTTAATCATGAAGTTACAAACCACAGTAACCTTGTGAGGCAAGTCAAAAATCTATGGTAAGTGATAATATGAGGTTGACGCTGTACGGATGTGCTCTATTCTTTGTAGTGTGGAA